CCTGCAGCCTGCAGCCTGTGCATCCGAGCTGGAAATGCAGTGCACTAGCTTGGTGGGGATGAGCCCCCTGTTGCGGGGTGTGTGTAAGCCAAGGTGTGAGTGTGAGCACCTCTCCAGGGTGAGTGGGAGGATCCAAACATCAGCATCTGCTTTTCTGGGGTTTGGTCACGCTGGGCCAGCCACTTTCCCGACGGCCTCATGGCTGTCAGGGCTGCACCACAAAGGAAAAACTATGGCCAGTAGGGGGTGGTTAGGGAAGCCCCATTTCTAGCCTCACCAGCAGGGGTCTCAGTCTGTGAGGCTCATGGCCTGCAAAGTGCTAGGTAAGGATGAAATACCTGAGGAATGGCGACCTAGGTCAGGGCCAGCCTCAGCCGGATAACAGGAGGGAGTGGGTAGCCAAGAGGTGTGGAGAGGAAGAAAGAGGTATGGATGGGCCTTTCAAACCAGGCCCCTAAACCTTCCCTTGAGCTGAGAGCACAGTTGCCTTGTGAGGAGATCACAGTTCAGACACTGGGAAACATTCAGACAGCTCTGATCCATACTTCGGGCACCTTGGGAAACCTGGGACTTCCCAGCATCAAAGTTTCAGCAGAGCACCCTCTTCTGAAGCTGGTCCAGCTAATGCCCGCTGTCCTATCCACCCAGACCCTGGCTGCCCTGGGCCCACCCTGTGAATTCAGCCTTTCTCCTCTTGGATTGCAAGGCCCAGGAGACACCTCTCTTAGAGGAGAGAGGCACTGAGGGCAAAATGGACCCGAGTGCCAACCCTGTGAGTGTTCTGGAGAGTGAAGCCATGCTGGAGAACAGCAGGTGTGCTGCTCTTGGGTTTCTTCTATTTCTCCATCCTCTGGGAACAAGGAGCCATTGAAGGACATCAGCCCAGACCCAGCCTGCACAGCACTGGGATGCACAGACTACCCTGTACATTCCCAGAACTTTTTTCTCTTTTTGGAGACAAATAGCATCCCAGCCACCTCCCTGTGCCCAAGCCATGGAAACTTGGCCATGAGCCTATGAGACCACAAATTCAAGAGGGGAAAATACTTAACATCCATACTTGTGGACCATTCCTTCTCCCTTCAAATGGCCACTCACTTCTTCAGCACTTGTGGGCCCCTCATCCCAGAGAACAACACATACGCCCCTCCAGGAGCCCACAGACTGCAGGAGAGGCATGTGCACTGTATCTCCATCAGGACACAACACCGGGTAGAGCCCGGCACACTTCTGACCACAGGTGCCCAGAGATCAGGGCAAGAGAGCAAAGGCAGTGTTGATTCGGTCAGTAGGAGAAGGAGCCATGAACATCACGGTGCCTGGGGGCGCCAGCCCTTCCTCTCGGCGACATGGGTGCACCGCAGGATGGCGTCATGGGGAGGATGTTGCAGAGCTTGTGTTTTGTGCTGCAAAGCTGGACTGCATCTGAAGCAGGGAGAGGTCCCTGTAGGAGGTGCCTAGAGGGCTGCAAAGTGAAGGGGGAATGGCAGTGTCGGGCTGACACCATAGAGACTTCTGAACAGGGCAGGGAGGGAATAATGAGGTCTACAGGGCGGCCACAAGCACCTGCTCCTGTCTTTTCACAGTTGCACTGGGCTTGTGGTTCTCACGCACCATTGTCCGCTTCTCTGCCTTTGTCCCTCCATCTGATTCCCTGTTGGGAAATTCAGCAGCTGAGGAAGTTTCTCAGCCCAAACAGGATGAAACAGGTAAAGTCTGAGGAAGTCAGTCGCCAAGTGACAGGCTGCGGAGTTACCATTGTTGTCTAGGGGCCACCGGCAAGGCTCCCGCTGTGCCCAGGAGAATGGGCTACACCGGCTCTGGCCTCAGGGCCCACAACCTCCACAGCAATGTGGAAGGGAATTTAAACCACATGGGCTGATAGTTGGGTTGGGGTGCATGTGGGAAGCCTCCCAATGCATGCTACCTGGTCAAATATTATTTAAGCCACTGAAATTATGTGGATTATTAGGAATCTTTAACCTCATCTGATTCAAAGAATAACGCTTCCCCCAAACAAGCAACAAAAAAAAGAAAGAAAGAAAAGAAAAACTTTAAGGGTGACTGATGCAATGTTTTGGGAGTTTTCTTTCTGAGCATCCCCAAACAAGCAACAAAAAAAAGAAAGAAAGAAAAGAAAAACTTTAAGGGTGACTGATGCAATCAATGTTTTGGGAGTTTTCTTTCTGAGCGTCAGAAGGAATCTTTTTGCAATAAGAAGGAAGTACTTGGGCTTCTCAAAAACCTGCCCCTCTCCATCTCAACCTTTTAGCTAAAAGTACTGTGAATGATACAAAACAGTTTCATGTTTCGGCAAAATGTAAATGTTTTTGTCTGGCACACTTTCTGGCATGAACTGAATGGGAGTGTTTGATTATAAAGTCACACACATCCCTGTCACCCGAGGCCACACTGGCCCACTTCAGTTGGAGAGCGGATGTTTTTTTCTAACGGTGGTAAATGGGAGCCTGTGAGATAGGGTCCCACCGAGATTGTTTGAGGCCAAAAAACATGGAACACATCTGATCTGAAGACACAGTGGTCAGAATCTGTAAATCACATCTTTTTACCCAGCTGTAAGCATTGCTTTTGAAGGGATTCAGCCTAGAGCGACGGTGGGGAACTTACAGCAGGTGAGCCGCGGCCGGTACACAGAGCCCTTTCTGCCGGCCTGGGTGGCACACAAGCCAAGTCGCCCCGGCAGCCATGCCTCGATATCCAGGTTTCACTGCAGTGTTGGCACTTTGCAATAACTGAGTGGGTTTGGGGTTGCAGTTCGGGCACTCGGTCTCCACGAGTTTTGCCATCACTGGCCTAGAGTGAGTGGAAGCTGGAAGCTCTTACTAGGTATAGAAGATAGCTAACATGCCACACATGGTGCGCTCTGAATCCACGCACTAGAGAGCAAGAGTGGGAGCGCACAGAATGGACAACTTCTTGCTCCTGGAGAAACTTCTAGATTCTCTTGGATTGGCAGAACCTGGAGGATATCTTGGAGGTCATCTGGGCTGTGCTCTGTCAATGCGTAAGTGTGAAAAATTATGCCCGGCAGGGAGAAGTGACTTGCTCAAAGGCACTCAGATTGTTGGTGATAGAATTCCCCATTGCATACCTCCCTCCTCTCAGCCTGTTTCTTCGTCTGTGGAAGGGAGATGGACCCTTCCTCACTGCACTCAGAGACCCCTATACACGCAGGGCTCAGCCCTCACAGGGACCCCTCAGTCTGGCACCCTACTCTCCCCACTCCTCCAGGCCTCCCCGCCCCCATGACCCTTGGACAGGTTCCATGAGATAGGAGGCAGGGACTCCCTAGCAGAGGTGGGAACACAAGCAGGGGTGATGGGCCTCCGGAAGAGAACGTGTAGGCAGAGCTGTCAGCCCTCTAGGGAACTGACGTGAGGTCATAGTATCACATGTGAGTGGGAACAGGAAGTGAGCAGCCCCCCAAGATGCCCAATGCAGGAATGGCACTGCAGAAAGCGAAGTGCAGGGGTTGTCAGCAGGGTGGCCAGCATCATGCAAGAAAATGTGCTTTGTCAGAGGTCAGGACCAAGTGCATCTGTACCCATGTGTACCTGGCAGTGGTTCTTTTATGCTACAGCTACACAGCACTCAGGTAACGCTACTGGAACATGCAGCTACAAAGTCAAAAAACACCAATCATCTGGACCTTTTAAGTAAACTCAGCCAGCCCCGGTTTTGGCTGTCCACAGGCCTTAGTTCAAGCCAGTGAACTCCTCCTTTTTACTTAGGTGACCTCAGGCAGCCACTTTTCGTCTCTAAGGCCCATTTTTTTATTTATTTATTTTTTTATTGAGTTTATTGGTACATTTAGGGATACAGTACAGTTACATTCATTGTTGGGATCATGTACCTTTACATGGCAGGTCTTGATTCTCATTTTTTCCCCTTACCTCTGCCCTCCCTTCACCCCCTCCTCCCCTCCCCATCTACAAACACTTTATTTTCATCTTTTCATTCTCTCACATTTTTTTCTTTTCCCTTTTTGTTCTTCCCCTACGTATCACACCTTCCCTACACCTTTAGCTCCTTTCCTCCCATTTCTAAATGTCAGTAATCTTATTAGAATCTTATGCATTGTTGCAGAATATTCACACCAGGGAAACTATTTGGTATTTACACATGTGTGACTTATTTATTTCACTTAGGAGTATATCTTCAATATGTATCCATTTTCCTATGAATGAATCTATTCTCTCGCTCTTTATGGCTGAGTAATATTCCATTTTATAGAAAAACCACAACTTCTTTATCCAGTTTCCAACGGATGGGCAAATAGGTTGTTTCCAAGATTTAGCTATTACAAACTGTGCCGCTATAAACATGGGTGCACATACTTCTCTGTGATATGATTCTTTTAGTTCTCTTGGAAAGATACCCAACAGAGGGATGGCTGGGTCAAATGGAACCTCCAGTCCAAGCTCTTTGAGGTATCTCCATATTGATTTCCATAGTGGTTGCACTAGTCTGCACTCCCACCAACAATGGAGGAGGGTTCCTTTCTCCCCACAACCCCGCCAACATTTGTTATTGTGTGATTTCTTGATAGCAGCCATTCTTTGTGGGGTGAGGTGGAATCTCAGTGTTGTTTTCATCTGCATCTCTCGAATGACCAGTGATGTGGAACATTTTTTCATATATTTTCTTGCTGCTTTCACTTCTTTGTATGAGAAATGTCTGTTCATTTCGGATGCCCATTTTTGGATCGGGTCTAAGGCCCATTTTTAATCTCTGCTAAGGACAGTCTTCTGTGATTTCATAAAATCATACTTATGGAGCAGCCCTAGGAGGGGTTCAGCTGCTTAACTGCTGGTGGATGTCAGTCCTCTGAGGAGGAGCTCGAGACTCATAACTTGGTTGGTCTCTGGAATGCAGCGAGTGGGCTACTCTGGACAGGATAAAGTCTCCCCTCTTCCTGGAAAGGCTGATTCACAAACTCACATCATTATTTTGTTTCTCTTTTTCCTTTTGTTTTCCAGATACTGGCTGACCAATAAAGTCCACATCAAACGACCCACCACTGGCCTCCTGATGTACACACTGGCCACACGTTTCTGCAATCAGATCTACCTCTATGGCTTCTGGCCCTTTCCGTTGGATCAGAACCAGAACCCTGTGAAGTACCACTACTATGACAGCCTCAAGTACGGCTACACCTCTCAGGCCAGCCCCCACACCATGCCCTTGGAGTTCAAGGCCCTCAAGAGCCTGCATGAGCAGGGGGCATTGAAAATGACTGTCGGCCAGTGTGATGGAGCCACGTAAGGTGGGCACCACGTGGGACTCGGAGGCTCACATTTCCTGCCAGCTACACCTCAGGCAGATGGGAGTCGGGGTGGCACAAACAATAGAACAAGCAGGCTAGTGGTTTTCTTTGTTAAAGTGTAAAACAGTGACCAGAATATATATATATCTATACCTGCATATATATATTGACCTGAGTATTTATAACTGCGTGGTGTTCATCTAGCATTAGGCAGATAAGCCACAAGAAGAAGGCGTGGAGAACCCACCTGATAGAGATTGAGACTCAGTCCATCTTTGGGGGCAAAAGGACATGATAGGCTAAGAAGCCGGTCCCATGACTTTGGATGGCAACCAACCTCTGGGGTTGGAGGGATCCTTGGGCTCACAGATGAATAGAGAGCCACCTGTGTTAGCTGCCCAAACCCCTGGGATATGTGGATTCTGGCGGCCAAGACCCAGAGAGGACACTTACCCAGGTCTGCAGAGGTGCTGTTTGTGGAGGAGAGGGAGGTTGGAGAGGTGAGTAGGGTAAAGGAGCACAAAGAAGCTGAGGAACCAAGGCTATAGCAGAGCTGAGGGCCTTGTTCCATGAACTCTCAGTTTGACTGCCCGAGTCATGGGTGACACACAAGTCCCAGATAGGACTGCACAGCTGGGTAGAGAAGACAAGGAGAGAAACGATGGACAGTCCGCATCCTGGCTAAACAAGAAGCACCCAGCACCTCCACGGGTGGGTAACCCTAAAGGCAGAGTGTTCTAAATCATGCCTCTGAGTGACTGAGACCTCCTTCTGTGGGTCTGCTCCACCCCAGCACAAGGCAGAAGAGTGTCCAAAATGTGGTCCCTGTGTTGGGTGCTCCTTAGAGCAAGTGAAGCCGGCTGAAGAGGAAGAGGCCGCGAGACTTCCCCTGCCTGTTCACCTCCATCCTGTCCCCTCTGCCACCGGGGAGACACAACAAAAGCTTTAAAGGGCACTGTGGAGACAAATGTCATTCTCTTTAAAACACACACGAATGCCTTTCTGGGTGCCTCCCCCAGAACCGCAGAGGGTGAGACCTGAAAGAATGGCAAGCACCCAGCTCTAGGCCTGGCAGCACAGGGCGGGGCCCTGCAGCCAGACTGCTCTGTCGATGTCACTTTCTCATCACTACCCACCCTGATGGTCTCACTCTCCCTCATGAGCTCTGATGCCCACCGCCACCTCCCCACGGAAGCAATGCTTGTCGGATTTTGCAAAATCCTTCTTTACCCCCATTACGGTTTGTATTTAAGACTACTGCAGAAATAAAGAGCCACAGGAAGTTCCAAACACTGGACACACCCTCCTAGGAAAACCTGGGCTCAATGCCAGTACCATGGGGGCTGGACTCATGGGTCACAGAGAAGCATGAGCCGGCTCGATTTGTTAGATGTATCTCCTCGCCCGATAACTAACAGTGTTTTAAAACATATTTGAAAGATAAGTAAAAAACCATTTTCTTAAAGGTGAAAAGAGTTAAGAAAAGTAATCAAGATCTGCTCCTGAGTGTATGAGACCAGACATAATTAATCAATGGCAATTCAGAACTTACGCTGGCTCTAAATTAACATCTGATGGGAGGCAGGAGGAGTCAGTGGAAAGAAACCCAGAACCCTTAAAGACACACATGAATGCCCCAGCCCAAGCCCAGGATGTGGCGAGGCATCCCTGCATTTCTCCCTTTTGTTCTTATTGTTGCTTGAAATCTGAGATTTTGGATTTGCATTACAAAATGAATTTTTAAAAGAGCAACAGCCCTAATAGCCTCAGTGGGGACCGAGTGGTCTGGGTTCCTCGCGAATGGTGGAAATAATTAGTATCATATTTTACTTGTCTCCTGAGCCTTTCATCTTGAGGAGCTCAAAGGTCCTAGAAGATGCTTAATTTCTAAAGCTTGCAGCACCCTGGGGAGTAGGTAGAATTATCGGCAAGGCCTTGATGGATTAGCCAAGACCTTGGATTCCAGAATGTTCCATGGTGAGAACTGAGGTAATCCCTGAGGTCAGGCCCTGGAGTTAGGGCTGAGTTCTGCCTGCCAGACAACACCCTGTCCATGCAGGAAAGTTAGAGGCAAGTACTCAGGAGAACCTGATCTCTGGCAGGTTCCCTTCAGAAGAAGGCAGGAGGCCCAGGACACCCACACCTGCCCATTCCCTAACTCAGCAGGTCCCATGCTGTCCAATCGCTTGGCACTGTGATGGCGGGAGCTTTGGGGCCTTGGCTTCTCTTTCTCCAGTCAGGAGGCCGACTGCTCTTCCCCGCCTAGTCAGAGCCCCTGAGAGCCAGGCTCCCGGGGAGTCGAGCCCACACCCAGCACTCTGATCCACTGCCTTATAGCAGCTGCAGTCAGGCATCTGTCAGCCTCAGCTGGCCCTCACCGCGGACGCTGTCCGTCACATCTCCAGGCTGCCCGCCACTGCCCACTGGAAGCCTTCAGACCATCTCCATTTGCCTCAAGCCCTCTGCTCTACTCACCCTACCCTCAACGCCTCCCTTCACTGAAGAGATGGAGCTGCCTGACGCGAGACCCCTCCTCAGACCCTCTTAGTCTCTTCCCTTCCCCTTCATCCTCCCATCTCTGGGAAATGACTTTCCTTCTCTCGCCAGGTACAGTTCCTCTCACACCTGCGGCCCCTCTCTGCCATCTCTAACCAGTTTACAAGCAGATGTTCACTACACCCAGCCTGGCTCTCGTGGTCTCTTCGCTCACCTCCCAGCACCCAGGCCTTGTCAGGGCCCCCAGTCCCTCCTGCTGCCTTTCCTCCTGACCATGCCATGGCTTCCACATCTGACCCATTCCCAGGATGGGCCCTGCATGCCCTCCATCTTGCCCATTCGAAAGGGCCCTTCTCATTGAGGAACTATAGGGACTCCTCCTGGGCGCTCCTGGCCGTACTCACGCATGCCATGTCCTCATGAGTCTCCCTTCCCTTCCAGGCCCCTTTCCCCACTTATTTATATATTTATTTGTGTGTTTATGCATTCTGTATGGACACTCCTACCTTGATCTCAGAGCTAAAGTAGATCTGCCCAGTCTCTCCCTCTCTTCTTGCCCTACAATGTACACACTCTTACCTAGGGTCTTGCCCTCAGCCCCCTACACCCTCCATCAGCAAGGTCACCCCGTCCTTTGGATCTAGCCACCAACTCCCTAGGGGATGTGGCCCTGTCCTCTCCCCAGCTCAGACTTCGTGTTGGACACACCCTCTCTACTCTGGCAGCAGCACCACGAATTGAATGCCTCTGATGCCAGGAGCACCATCTCTAGCTCCCTTCCCCTGCAACCTTTCTTTTATTCTGTTGGAAGATCCGTGAACCTCTCAACCACAGGGCCTACTGTCATCTTCAAATCTTCTCCCACATCCTCCTCCGTTGCTTCTTCCCACTGGCGCCCACCTCGCCTCTTCACGTGTCCCCCAGACCGCTGAGTAGCGGCCTCCTCTTGTAGATTTCCTCCGCGTGCTCCCACGTCCTCCAGCCCTCCAGAGCGTGCACAGTGAAGCACAGCTCCTGTTCCTCACGGGCCTTTGAAGTTCTCCTAGCCCACCAGCCAGTGCACAAGTCTTTCACCTGACATTACAGCCCACCCTGCACCAGCCAATCTGCAAGTGTTGCCAATCCCGCAAGGAACACCTGTGTTCCCTGTCTCTGTGCCTTCGGTCTCCTCATTCTCATCCTCTAGATACTCTTGAGTTTCCTCCAAGGCCATGCAGAGACCGTGTCTTTCACAAAGCCCTCCCTGATCCACTGACCACTGGGCTCTCTCCCTCTGCTGAACCACCGTAGCACTTTATTTGTACCTTTCTCACGGCACTTACCATATTCTGCCTTGTATTATACTTATTTGTGCACTTGTCCTATGACTGTTCTTAGACTGTAAGCTCGCCAAGGGCAGAAGCTGTTTTATTCATTCGTATCCATCGCAGCAATAGACGTGGTACATAATGGACAGCAGTTGCTCAATAAATGTTTGTTGGATTCAATCCTCAATGCCTACAGAGGGCTTTATCGTTACTGAAGCCATTTTGTGTCTCTAAGGTCACAAGAACTTCCAAAAACTTGTGTGAGTTGGGCCAAAGCAGAAACAATTATCCCCCTTGTGTAGGCCATGAAATTGGAGCCAAAACACCACCTTAAGCCTCCAAACTCACTAGTGGGATGTCCACCCATGTCTTCTTATCCTCATTCCAGGGCTTTGCTGTTAATCTGCATCACTGAGTCATTGTTAACTGAAAAGTAACCCTGAGCACAGGCCTGGTGGTCACAGAGCTGGGCAAACTTCAGCATAGGTGCCCATCAACACAGGCAGAATCTCGCCGCTTCCTGGAGAGGACAAGAGAAAGCCATTTGGGTTTTCTCAGACTCAGGAGCTGGAGCTGTAGGACCTCATCAGTCATGCCCGCTCTTGTCGTCCTAGGTAGGAAACCATCGGTCCAGATGGCAGAGAGAGCCACAGCTCCAAGAGGCTGCTGTTTGATAAATCTCTTCACACCTAATTACAACTCCCCCACCAGACTGGATGGAACAGGTGCCAGTCAGATGGGACTCCAGACGTGTGTGCTGCCTCATGGATGCCCTTAATAGCAGCCCCAATGACACCCACAGCCTGCCCCACCCGCTGTCTCTCACCATCCAGTGTTGCTGGATGTCACCCCTTGGCCCCTTCATTCCCATCCTTTCTTCTCTTCCTCTGGAGCCCCCCGCTTGGCAGGGTGAGCCAGGAGCGCCACATGGCAGCTCTTCCTCCTGGGCATCTGAGCCCTGACCAGACACAGTCAGTGGTAGGAGACAGAAGCAAGAAGGGGAGCAAAGGACACTACAGTTGGTGCCATCTCTTAGGGGAGCAAAAGAACAATGAGCTTTGTCTGGTGGCAGGCTATCCACAACAATGAGAGGTTTCCATAGTTACAGTCCAGAAGCGTGTTTTAGTCTCCTTGGGCTTCATTGTGTGGGTAGATTAATTTCCATTCTTAGCTGTAGAATGGTCCAGACAGTGGACCATTTTTCACATATGCTGCATTGAGCCATCCAGCCCTCATCATACAGTTTGTCTATAATCACTCTCATTGTCTGTAGCCAAAAACCCAATAAAGCCACCCAGTCAGGACACTAAAGCACCCTCGAGGCCTTTCTCCATTTGTCCCACCACTTCTTCGCCCATTCCAACTTCTCCTAGGACCTGACCTGGGAAATGGGGTCACCAAGAGGTTCTAAGGGTTATGTAAAGACCTTGAATGCCCCAGCCTGGGCATTTTCAAATATTAAAGAAGTTTGCCCAGAACTGACTCAGCACCAACTAGAAGCAGCCAATCCTTGGGAAATAAGCTGAAAACGAGGACCTGACAGCCAGAAAGTAGGAAAACTGCCTCGTGAACCCCAGCACTTCGGGCCCCCAACCCCAAGTGACAGGGCAGATTCCTACGCAGCATATTGAGGTGAGGGAAGCTGGGGCTGATGTAGAAAAGTGGCCCTTCGGTGTGTTTCTAAGTGCCTCCATGTCCCAAGAAGAGAATTGAAGAGGGAGCCCCTGGATGTCATGCTCACCAGAAACTGCTCACAGGAAGTCAGGTGCTGTGGGAAGACGCTGGGCAAGTTGCTTTGCACAAGGAAAGCCAGCTTGCTCTTTCTTGTTCCAGCGGCCATGGTTGGTGAGAACCTAACTCACTGCAATGGCAGCTGGGTGGCCAACAGTTGCTTGGCTGGGTCTTGCCTTTATGAGCACTGCAACCAGGGCAAGAGCTCTGGGCTGAACACCAGATGATCCAAAAGCCTTTCATTCAAGAGCCCTGAGCACATGGTTTAGGCCACTCAGCTCTGATGTTTCCTGTCCAATGGAGAAGACAGCTAGCCATCTCCAGCATGGAGTAACTGTGGCAATGCAAATCCAGAAGGGCTTGCAGAGGAAACTCGGTGGGGAGGAGAGTGGAGGCTCAGAACTACGCAGCAAAAATGAAAGGTGTGCAGCTGTGAGCCTGCAGGCTTCTGTGTGGTCAACAGACCATGCTATCGCCCTGGTTGACCCGGTCAGTGGCTTTCCTTCACCCTGGGAAGAGAGCCTCAGGAATCTAACCCAACTTTGAGGTCCACGAATCTTCCTCCCCTCTGGCTCACTACTTCCCAGCCACACAGGCCTTTTCCCTTCCCGAGAACTTTCAGAATTATCTTAGTCTCAGGGCCTTTGCACTTGCTCTTCCCTCTGCCTAGGAAAATCACTTCCTTACTCCTTGTGTGTTGCCTCTTCGTCACCTTTTAAGCTTCAGATCTCATGTCACCTGCTAGGGAGTCCTTTCCTGGTCTCCCTCAGCTAATCGCTTCGCACCACATTTCCCATTGTCTGGAAGGCAGTCTACAAACTACAGCCTTCCCTTAGCCATGCAGAACAAGTGCCAGACTTGCGGTGGATGCCTGAAGTCACTGCTCATATCGATGCTTTTTCCTATGCATTCATACCTATGACGAAATTTGATTTAAAAACTCCACCCGGCAAGAGATGAGCAGTAACTAAAACTAAAGTGGAACAACTGCAAAACTATGCTTTACTTGCTCCTTTGTTGATTGTTGGCTGCTCTCCTAGAATGTTCAAGGGGGATTTGTTTTCCATGGGGGTTTCTGCACCCTGAGTAGTCCTCCTCCAAGGCAAATGCAATGTCAGCCTCTAGAGCACTGCAACAGGTGCAACGTGACTACTTCCTAAGAGGCACACAGCAGCTTTGAATCTGTCTTGGGTGAATAGGTGGTCCCAGGGAGAGGTAGCCCCAGGAAGTCCTACTCAAGAGGACACCATGGCTCTTGCCTTTCACTTTCACAGGAGGCTCTTTCCCTGCCTGGCCAGGCATTAGAGCACCACCACACCCCAAAGACGATTACTACCCGAGATGCATATCAGAACCCCCTTGAGGGGACATCAAACCCCCTTGAGCCTAGGTCTTGCCCCTAGGAATCCTGATGTGATTGGTCTGGGTGTAGCCGGGGCATCACTAGAAGCTCAAGTGTGGTGCTCAGGTGCAGCCCTGACCCACTTCCTGAGCCCTGTGACCTCTTCCACAGCACCCCCACTAGGGTCATTCTTTTGCTTCTGGCTTCTAAGGGCTTCCTTCCTTGATTTCATGTTTAGCTCTGTTCTACCTGATGGATCTGTCGCTGCTGCTGTTCTGGATGGCTGTAGGATGGCAGGAGCAAAGGCCTGTCTGCCATGTTGCCTGCCTCCCTCCACCCTGCATGAGGAAAAGGGCCAGGAATGGTATATTTGCTGGAGCATTTCCGGACACTGAGTAGGCATGTGGTAGACTCCTGTTTCATGAACGGGATGACTATGTGAGCACCTGGGAAGACAGGCTGTACCCCACTGGCTCCCAGGGTAGAGAGGAGTCCTGCCTCATGGAAAGAACACCAGGACCTCCCCACAGGAGGAGCAGGAAAGGCCCCACTACCTCCACTAGACCATGTATTTTGAACCTGTGTAAGACACCTTCTATAGGCCAGTGTGTTGTCATGCCCTCACTATCACAGATTAAATAACCAACATTCTCAGATGCTGAAAGCTTGTTGAAGATGCCAAAGCTTGTGAATAGATAGTTCGATGCCAAAGCCAACACTGTTAACACCAGCCCACTTAAATTCTGTGAAGGCCATTGACTTCTGCCAACCTGCAGCCATCCAGTCATTGTGTGAGCCTGCACAGGGGAAAGAAGAGGGCAGGACTCACGATCCTTCCACACAGACTCGGCATCAGCTTAGCTCTGCTTTGGCACTTCTCACAGTCAGAGCTGGTGTAGACCCAGAACACATCCAATGCCAGTTATTAGAATGCTTTCTTGCCAGTTGGTCAAGAGCTACCTCTCCGGGCCTCTGAGTGTCCTTGCTCCAGCACTGCTGCCATGGCCCGTTCTGATTGGTAGGGCCCTCCGGTTGTTAGATATTTTGCATGTCACACCTGCTCCCCAGGCGGGAAACAAGGGAGCAGGATCGAGCATTGGAATAACTGGTTCTGGGCTCCATTTCACTGGCATTTCTGTAGTAGCCATGCCTGGAGAGGGGCCCGGCTTTCTTCTTTCTCATTTTTCATGGAAACATTCTTGACCCAAAGCAGATGTTCTGTGTAGTTCATGTGAGAACAGATTGCACATTCAATTTATGAAAGCATCGAGAGGCACAAGGAGAAGCATCTTCCGACAGCATGTCGGGGCTGATAACAGGTGGACAATCGCCTATATCATGTCTGGGGCACACCATGAAAGCTGGAGGGTGATGGAAACTGAAGGAGTAGCAGAGGGCCAGAAGGGAGCAGATGACTGAGGCCTGACTAGATGCTCTACGTGGACTTGTTTGGAGTAGATGCTGCTTTTATTTCCGCGCTATAGAGGCAACTGTGCAAAAGAGGTTGATTGCCCAAGGTAGAAAGTCTAGGAATAGATTGCGCTGGGATTTATTCCCAAGCCCTCAGGGTCCAGAATGGTGCAGAGATCCCCTAAATGGCACAGTGACACTGGGGCTTCACTGGGGCCCTGAAGCCTGTGCCAGCCAGTGATGTTGCTGGTTCCCACGGTTGCTGTTCCCGCACCAGTTTAGCTGCCGGCCCCTCCCACCCCAGCTCGCTCTCCCCGGACCCACCAAGTGGAGATGCTCATTAGTGCAGGGCTGGGGGCAGAGTCTGGCTGCACAGCCCCGAGCCTCATGGCTGCAGCTGCTGCTTTTGAACGGTGGGGAAGCCAACCATCCTCCTCTTCGCACTCCAGGACACTCCGCCCAGAGTCTGTGAATAGATGGGGGAACAACCAAGCCACAGGCTGCTGGGAGAATGTGGAACTGCTCTCTGACAGAGGCCAGCATGGATGAAAGAAGTGAAGCTATCACAGCAGCAGGCAAAGCCAATGAACAGACAGCTGTCCTAGGCGGGGCCTTCACTCCAAAGCCTGCCTCACAATCAGGTATTTGCACTAGGCAGGGTCCCAGCAGCCTTTCCAGTGTCAGTTTGTGCAGGGGACCTCGGATGGCCCAGGCCTTCCCTGCCTCTCCAGCTTCCT